ATATCAAGTCGATCACCAATTCTTTGTCAAATTTAACCTCCAAAAAAAAAAAATTCCACTTTTATCCATCTACCACCTTATTCCAAGCAGACATCAACTTAATAAAAAGAAGAAAAAAAGAAAGAAAGAAAGAAAGAAAGAAAGAAAGAAAGAAAGAAAGAGCTTCTGCACTGGTCTCCTTGCTTTCAATATTGCCCCATTTGCTTTCCTAAGCCTTTCTTTATGCAGCAAGCAGATAGCACATACTACAATCTAAGTCATACCATGTCGTTCCCTCCACTTAGAAAATTCCAATGGCTGCCAGATTTACTAAGAGAATAATCTAATTCCTTTACAGGATCCCCAAAGCCTTGCAGGGCCTGGCCTCTGTTTACCATCCCAACCTCATCCTGTGACATTCTTCCTCTTGCTTTCTTGCTACAGGCACACTGGACTCCTTTCACTGTCTAAATCCTACTAGTCTATTATCTACCTTCAGACTTTTGTACTTGCTTTTATTGTTCTGCCTGAGAATAACTTTTCTCTGACCCTTTCCAAGCCTGGCACCTTTAGGTCTCAGCTCAGAAGACTTCCTTGGTCACCAAATCTCAAATAGATCCCCTCACCAAACATTTTCTCTCTCTCAGCATGCTATGAGTTTGTCCCATAGCATTTTCATTTAATTATTTGGTTATTTGTTTCTTTGTTATTTTTATCTCTCTACACCACTGTAAAATCTTTGAGGGCCTGTGCCAGATCAGAATTATATCTTCACAAACTGACATTGTTCCTGACATATAGTAGTCTCTTGATACACGTTGGTTTAACGAATGAAAGAATGAATGGGACAAATTAGAAGAGAATGAAGCTGTACCTCTATGTTGCCCTGTGGATTGATGTGCTCATCTATATAGTTTTCAAAATATATCCTCTGCTGACATTCAATTAATAAAGCTAGCAAATGACACATAAATTTAATTTTTAAATTGAGATACAGATCTTTTGAAAGCATTGCAAAGATAATGTGATTTGCGTGAGAAAAATATTCCAACCTTAACACAAATGTACACAATTTTACATGTTGCCTTCACCATTTTAAAATGTTATAAAAGGTTTAGAATAGTAGTTATTTCATTCCTTTAAGGGAAATGTAGTTTTGCTTATTTTAAAGTATTCAGGAAAATTTGACTCTTTGCAACAGGATGATGCAAGAAATCCCGAGCAGTAGATGTAGCAATAGACCAGCTGCCTGATTAAGGGTTTGAAGATTGGGGTGTGAGTTGTGACCTTATCCTTCACTAGCTTGTAGGGGTCTTGGATAGTTCACTGGAACTATTCTCAGCCTCTTCTCTAACACAGGAATCATGCCTTCCCTGCTTATCTCTTTGCATTTTTGTGATAATCTGGATAAATGATGTAATGTGAGAATGTTTTCAGCACTATAGAGGACTCCACTAATGTGAAGTCCTACTATATTAGTGAACAACCTTACAAAATTGACTCTAACGCTTCGTTCTCATTTTAGAGAGGTTATGGGAGACGACTCAAGGCAATCATCTATATTTGGAATATTTATTATTCCAGATCATGTGGCTCAAAAGATTGACATGCAATAAAGGCTGTGTAACCCTTCGATAAATAGAAAAAGGGTAAGAACAGGCTTCCTAAACTATGTCCTGGCGGTCAGTCCATACCTTAGCTATGCGTTTTTAAGAAGACTATAACAGTATTGAAATGGGCAAGAACAAGGGGGAATTCTTTCCGAGCTCCTTTGTGGAAGGGTTCGCTCTGTGCCACGTATTAAACACAAGCAGGTGCGAGCTACTTTAGAATGACAGCAACCGATTCGTCCGAGACGGAAAGAACTGCAGCCCTTCAGAAGTCCCAATCCAGCTTCTCCCAACATGCATTCCTCCTTCTCCCCTCACCTTGTCCCCTTTTCTCCTCCAGTGGGAGAATGTAGGAGACAAGGGAGAGGAGATCCTAGAGGGATGAAAAAAAAAAAAAGAACCATTTCAGCTCCTTTTATTTCCCTATCGCAAGCTGTGCTGCTGAGTTAAAAATATGTAATTTAGTTCCCAAATCTATTTCAACCCCTGCCTGGCCTACTGAGCAATCACAAACCATCCAATTTCAATTCAAATCTTTACTTTTAGCTTTATTTTAAATGGAACACAGCAAAGTTGTATAAACAGATACAAAGTAAATGCTCCGCAAAGAGCAGAAGCAGGATTAAAGGAACCAGGAAGTAAAGCCATACTTATACATATTTATAGTGTACTGGCCAAAATCTGGATTGTTTTCATTTCATTTTTAAAATGCCAAACTTTCCACAGAGTATAAAATGTCATAGATGGGATCAAACTTGTGGCATCCAAGAGTCTGTGCTAACAATGAGTTTTCTCATTATTTTCAGTGGCTGCACATTTACAACTTCGTGTAAACAGATAACACATTTTCTGCAGGTGAGAATTACTATTCCTCTGTCACATTTGGAATATTATGCATTTACAGGGAATGACCCACTTCTAAAAAATGAATCACGTCTACCACAAATATTTATGAGTAGAGAAAAAAAACAATAACAAAAAACCACATTCTGCTATATGGTAAATGGTTAAATAATTAGTTAACTCCTAACACTCAAAGTAAACTGAATTCAACCCCTTTCCATAGAGCTATAAAAGTATCTCCAGGCGGGGAATGCAGATCACTTGGCAGTGACAAGATGATAAATAATGCCCTTGAGACATTTAGTAGTACTGCAGTTAAGCAAAACCCAGTCATAGCTCACACAGAGTGTTTTCACTTATTTTATTGTCTATATATTGTTTGAGAAAGAGCAGATAGTAAAAAGGTCCATCTACAATGAACCTCTTCTTTCTTTTGAGTTATAACTTGCTTTATAACCAGCTGGGCATATATTATTTTAACTTTCAACATTTAATAATAAAACCATATAGTTTCCGTTATAACTTTCCACTTTCATTTATGTTCAGGCACATCGATTCTCTAATGAATATTTAAACGACATGTGATTTGATACTTTGGTTATTTCTTTTTTCCTCCCTTGAAATGTCAAGTTTAAAACCTTTATGGGCAGATTAAATCCTCTTTTATTGATGTGATACAGTTTTAAACGGTACCGCATCATCTAAAACATTCTCCACAAGACTATTTTTGATCTAAAGTTATAATTTCCCAGTCATTTAGGAAAGATCGTGCATTGACAAGTGATTCACTTCCGTAACGAAGTCTCTTTTCAGATGTGCATGAAGCAAATGCAGTGCAGAGAACCTGTCCCTGAGAGGCAATGTGAAAAGAGCCAGGAGAAACTTGCATTCTCTGTATCACTGGCAACATACAAATCCTGAATTAATACCCTCAACGAATGGCTTCCCATAACCTTCTCAATAAAATCCAGGAAAAAACATGGTTTGGAATTCAGAAGACCTGATCCCAGCCTGCCGTTGCTATGCTGCGTGCCCCTATACAAATCACTGTCCCCTTAGAGTCCTCTGTGTCCTCACATGTTAAATGCGAAGAACAAGACTAGACAGACTCCAAAGAATCATCCAGCTCTACTCCATCCAACGCTATTTTATCTCCAACGATTCTAATCTGGGCCCACACTCCTCCCACCTCGTACCTAACGCCGTCCTGTTCCCTGCTCTCACTTTCTCCATTGCCCGACAGCGTCTCCTAAACACCCTCAGTAGGAAGCATGAAGCTCCTCTGTGCTTCTAACATTCAATACCAGTCACATGGTGTCTGATACCGTCCCAGTCTGCACGGCTCTGTCTTTCAAATGCACATCCTGACTGGGATTCACATCCTTCCCCTGCCACTCACAAGCTGGGAACTTGGACCAATCACTTAAACTATCCAAGGGTCAATTTCTTCGTTGTAACATGAAGATACTAATGGCTTTCTTTTAGGGTTGTGGTGAGGGTTCACCAGAGTAATGTCTGTAAAATGCCTGGAATATATGAAAAATTAATTAAATAAACGCAATGTTAGTTGCGATTATTATGATCGCCACTACTAGAATATAATTAGTTCCTTGAAAATAGAATCTTTGTCTTGTTCAACTCATTCGCTGAAGGGTAACAGCACGTGTACTGGAAAGAACCGGGACTTTGAGGTCAGAAGATGTGGGCCAATCCCACGAGTGGGACCCCAGCAAGTCTCTGGTCCTCACTGCATCCGACTGAGAAGCTGTTTGAGGTTAAGAATCGTATCTTAAGATTTCTGTGAACCTACCTAGTGGGTAGCCCAAAGCTTGCCACATAGATTCTCATTATATATGCAAAGGAAACATGAATATGAAAAAGAACAACAGTACTGTTAATGGCTCTGCCTCTATTAAGCCCTTTATAACTACTTTGTTGAAGAAAGAAAGCTAAAATAGCTCTGACTGCAAAGTCTTAGGAGGAAAGCAAATGCCACCTCCCCGCAGAGAAACCATCCCACTGTAGAAGAGAGAAGGAAAGGACTGGGTCCTCCAACACGGCAGGCAGCTTCGTGCCCCAGATTCATGTCCTAGGGAGAACACCGGCCCAGGTTCGGGCAGAGAAACGGACACGTGGGAGGACAGGGGACTTTGGTTCAGCTGCCTCAAGAGCAGCCTGCTCCGAGGGACAGGTTCGGGGAAATCCGTTGTGGGGTGCAGCGAGGCCAGGCAACCGAGCCCCGAGTTCCCATTTTTGACTCTTCCCCTCCAACCTCCCCCACCCAGCAGTCAGGTCCCGGGAGGTAATTAGTGTGGGGGAGAAGCCAAGCTCTGAGGGGGCAGGGAGATGGGAAAGTACGGGTGGGGGCGGAATTCTTGTCATAGGTCTCACCGAGAGAGGAGGGGTGGGGGGGAGAGGAAGAGGGAGGGAGGGAGGGAGAGAGGGAGGGAGGGAATATTTTCATTTTTGCACGTGAGGCGTACCTAATGATATTCCCACAGACAGACAGACAGGCAGACCGAGAGAGGGACAGACAGGACACATTTGCGCGTTTGAAATCGTTCATACCCCCAAATCCAGGGCGCAGCCTGTTGTCATAACCATCGAGCAAACTGTCCAGGATGCGGGTGAAATTTTCTGGGCACAATTTCTCCTCCTTTTGGTTCTGTCCTGGGGATTCGTTTAAACTGCAAGCGCATAAAACGGGGGCGGAGGAGATTATTTTAAGAACTGTTCAGAGAACAGGTGGAAACAGGTCTTCTAGGGAGAGAGTCGCTTGCCCCTAAGCTAAAGGAGGCAGGACTGGGTGTTGGGATGCGAGAGACAGAAACGGTCAGGAGAAGCGCACCCCGCGCACACGCACCCCGCTACCCACGCGCTTCTTGCACCCGCTGCCCCTTGCGCTGTCCGCGTCTACGCGGTCACAGAAAAGCCTGGCTTGGGGCCCCTGATCTCCCAGCTGAGACAAGAGCGTCTGGTTCGCCCAGAGAGGGCTGGGTGGTCTAAGGGGGCCTGGAGCGGCCACTCCCCCGCCCCCTCCCCCGCCGCAGCACCCCGGAGCACTCACCAAGCCGCCAGGCACAGGAATCGCAGGAGGGCGAAGCTGAGCCCGGAGGCCAGCACGATCGCGGGAACCTTCTTGGCAGAAACCATCTTTGCAACATGCCATACTTCACGCCTGTTCACGTTTCCAGGCTCTCGAGACGCCCTGGGCAGGGAGCGAGGACAGGGCAGAGCGGCTCCCGCGGCGCGCACACTCGCTCGCGCCCGCCCGCGCCCGCACTCCGAGCCGCGGTGGGCGTGTGTGTGCGCGGGGCCCGGGGAGGCGGGACCTGCCTTCGCTCGCCCCCTCCGAGCTCGCGCGGCGCTCGCGGCGCAGGTGGCGCTCTGTGCACCGCGCGCGCCCGTTCGGGCCCGGGGTCGCGGGGAGCCGGGGCGGACGCGCGCTTGCCCCGCGAGCCTGCACAAGTTTGCTCCGACTGCAACTCCGGGCACGAGGGCCGGGGTCTGTGGGCCCAGCCCCCCCCCGCACCCCGCAGCCCCCATGCGAGCGAGTCCCAGCCCACGGCCGCGCGGGGCCGCCCCTTCTCCCGGCCCCCTCCCTCCGCTGGGGCTCGGATCCGGCCAATGGAGCTGCTCGCTCGCCGGGCGGTGCGGAGGCCCGTCTGTGCCGCCGTCGGGCTGCGGGTGCAGGAAGGGCGCGGGGAGCGCGGCGGCGGCGAGGACGGGGGTCCGGGTCTGGGCAGAAACAGCCCTCGGGCCCCTCCCCCTTCAGGTGCTGGCGGAGGGGGAAAGGGAAAAAAGGAGATTCTTCCTGGTAACAGGGTTGACAACTCAGGGACCGACTCTCCCAAACTGCTCGGAAGTGGACTGAGCCTCACTCCGTGGTCGCAGCGTCTGCTGAGCTGTTGATTCAAAGACAGCAGCTCCTGCGCTCTGCCCGCCTGCACCGACACGCGCCCCCGTCCTTTTCCCGAGAGGAGGCGCAGGTGCAGACCGGCGACCTCTGGTCGAGTCACTGTCACTTCTGGCTACACTCTTCTCTGTCAGAGTAGAGCTGACGGACTTGCAGAGCTGGATCCCTGTAGGGAGGAGGAAAGGGTGGCTGGGGAGAGGGAGGAGGGGAGAAGGGGAAGAGAAAATGTATGCGGGGGGGGGGGTTACATAAATTATACATTTCAATGAAGGGGAACAAGTGTTAGTTGACTTACGACTTGAAAAGGAACACTAAGCACTCTACCTTTGTTTTGCTGAACACAGACAAGCATTTCCAACAGGCTTTGTTAAAACATTAATGACTGGCTGGGTTCAAGGGAGAAAGTGTCTTTCACACCCATAGTGATGCCTGTGGCAATTTGCACGGGATGGATCAATGACCTAAGTCATTTCCATAACGTTAGATCCCTGGGACCGCATGCCAACTATGATGTTCTATTTAGAACTTTGATGGTTCGTTCAGATTTTGATGACTACTGGACTGATATGATACAGAAACACGTTATATTAGAGAAGAGGGTTGTTTGTTTGAATCTCCTGATCACAGTTTTCTTTCCAAGGGTAAGACAACAGTGCCCTTAGTGTGCAGTAGCCAGAGCTATGCGCCCTCGTGATGTTCTGTATGCGGTATCGCTTCCTTCGTGGAATCTGCTTGTCTTTCATCCTAATTCCGTCTATATTATTCTTCTCTCATGGACTGTGATCTCCTTGAGGGCCTGGGCTGGGTAGTTTTTA